TCCTGCAATCTTTCCAGAATCACATGGTCAGCCCTGAAAACATATACATACAAGCAACATTAAGCAAATTCAGCATGTTGCATTTATATATACATATAACATAACTGTCTATATCTTTAACTGTAATTAAGGAAAAACAGGCTATGAATTTGAAAGGGAGTGAGGGGGCTATGAAAGGGATTTGGGTGAAATTATGTAATTATATTTTATCTTTTGAAAAATTGGGACTAAAAGAGAAATAGACCTTTGCTTTTTTTAAGCCAACAAGACCACCAGGCTCTTTAGTTGCCACAGTACAACCTCGACTAGACTGACTAATTCAGAGTGTAAACAATAGACATTTGCAAGTAAGAGAGATGTGCTGCTCATAACTACTTTTCCTTTTCCTTGGAGTCCATTGCAATTTCCAAAGACAAAATACCTGAATAAGACTGAAAAGATCATCGTTAGGCTAATTCAGCCCCGTGTGCACTCTGTTCAAATGGTCTTCTGCTGTGGATATTGTTCTATATAAATAAAACACTGATGGCCAGTGACCAGGCAGGAAGTAGGTTGCCAGGCAGGAAGTAGGTGGGACAAGGAGAGAGGAGAATTCTGGGAAGCGGAAGGCTGGGGGGGGAGACACTGCAGCCACCGCCATGAGAAGCAGCATGTGGAGACTCTGGTAAGCCACCAGCCACGTGGCAAGGTATAGATTTATAAAAATGGGTTAATTTAAGATAAAAGAACAGTTAGCAAGAAGCCTGCCACGGCCTTATAGTTTATAAGTGATATAAGCGTCTGAGTGATTATTTTATACTTGGATCGTGGGACTGCGGGGCTTGGGGAACCTGGAGAGAAGCTCTCCAGCAACAGTCTTCCTTCCTCCTATGCCTGCAAAGTGTGTCTGGCTTCAGAACAAGCATCTTTAGCCTCACCTATCTTATGAGGAGAAGCCTCTGATACATGGTTTTCCTTCCTCATCTCTATGATAATCCTCACCAGACTGCTTCTACTGTCAGGTGGACTGGTCCTCGTAGCAGGTCAGGATGCTGCAGTCTGTGGTCACTGTGATCTGCTTAAGTTGAGAGACTCTAAATGGAAGGGAGGATATAGTTTAGGTTCTGCAGAGTACAGATTGTCTTTGTCACATAGTTTCCCCCTCTCTTGTTGTGTTTTCTTCTTTTTATGTTATTATTTGCTTTTCTTTAATTTCATGGAGTTTCAATAAGTTTGCAATTTTGCATTTGGGTCACAATCATGGATGTCCTTGGATGCATGCAGCTCATGGCTACAGGCTATGCATGCCTGCTAGAGCTTTACTGTGCCTGAACCATGTCCATCCAGAAACAGAGCAACAGTTCACAGGTTCTTCCCTCTCACCTAGCTGGCTTTCTCTCTGGATCATTTGAGGTGACAGTGGGAGTGGGTACCTGATTTTAAGAACACACCATGCAGCTTGTGCCTTCAATTTGTGTTTTCCTCTCAAATAGAGGCTGTTTCTGTCTTTTTAAAACTACGCTTTATGGAATGTTTCCATAGTATTTTACTAGACATGTCTTGTCATATGACAGGAGGTCTGAGACATGAGGAAATGCCCTCTTCCTCCAATGGGCTTGGTTTCCTGTGAAGTGCTATTTTCTGTTGGAACTAGGTTAAAGATAGAACATTATTCAATATATTTTCTAGCACATTTCTTAAATATGCAACCTAAATATCTATGTTATATAAATACCTTCTAATTTATCTGTTGCTGGAGGGCTTCTCTCCAGGTTCCACCAAGGCCCGCAGTCCCACAATCCACATATAAAATAATCACTCAGACGCTTATATTACTTACAAACTGTATGGACGTGGCAGGCTTTTTGATAACTGTTCTTATATCTTAAATTAACACATTTCTATAAATCTATACCTTGCCACGTGGCTGGTGGCTTACCGGCGTCTTTACATCCTGCTTGTCCTGGCGGTGGCTGCAGTCTCTCTCTCCCCTTCTTCCTGTTTCCCCAATTCTCCTCTCTCTTTGTCCCGCCAATACTTCCTGCCTGGTCACTGGCCATCAGTGTTTTATTTATATAGAGTGATATTCACAACACTTCCCCTTTTCTTTTTTTAAAAGGAAGGTTTTAACTTTAACATGGTAAAATTACATATAACAAAACAATTATCGAGCACGAATTACAGTTACAATATTAAAGTAGATGTCCTATCTATCTTATATTTGTGAGTTTAAGGTTTTATATCTAACTTATCTTTTATCATAACTGAGGAAATTATAACTATCTAGTCTTTAACCACATCAAAGACCTGAGAAATGGTAGATGGATGCAAACAACTTTTGGGAATCTTGCAAGAGTAGACCAAGACAGCTGGCAGCCTGGACAGTCACCTAATGTTTCTCAGCATTGCTGGTGCATTCAAATTGGCTACAGGCCTAGAGTATCTGACAGACCATTTTTAGAAGCAGGAATTTTGAAAGACCATCTTATCCTGTCTTGGCAGAGTACAGTGGTCAGTGGTTGCTTTCCTTGTGTCCCGCTTGTCCAGAAATGACAGCATTGTATTTGTACTGTCAGCCATGAAGGCATGGGCAGTTCTTTGCCCAGTAGGCCATTTTGTGCCAAAAAGACAAACTTCCAAATGGAAATGTCTTAGAAGCCCAGCATTCTTTCTGGATCAAATTGGTGCAGCCAGGAGCAATTGTGTCTCA